GGGTCCGGATCCCCCAATTTTCAAAAAGATGGTCCACGAGGAGAGGGGGGTAAAGGACTTACCAAAGATGCCAAAGCGTGTAGTTGTGAAATTCAACTTTCATACAAGTTTGATTTTGGATAAGAGTATTCTGCACGTGCCTAGTTTCAATAAGCGCGTGCTATTTTTGGCTAATTTCTGATAAATAAAACACTTATAGAAGAAAATAACGTTCCCCTAATAGTTTTTAGAAGGGTGTTTTCGTAAAGAAAAAGGGCTTGGTCCATCGCAACGTTGAGACTACATTAGCCACCCCCACTTTGTTTAGCCTGGCTCCGCCGCTGGCCTAAGGGGCGCCACTGAATGGTTTACAGGGCACCACTGGAAAGAGGAAAGGAACACGAAATGGAAGGACAGAGGAGTCGCACCTGGAATGACCGAAGGTGGTTGAAAGGTTAATTGGCTACCGTTGGCATATCAGAAGAAACAACAGTGAAAAGGCAAAACGAGCACCACTGGAAGGACTGAAAGGTATACACGGCGTCCCAACGATCACCTCAGTGAAAGTGCAAAAAATCACGAACTTAATACTAACCAGTCACTGTTTCTCTTAAGAACTATCAAACTGTAACTGTATCTCTCTCTTCTTTCTTTTTCGATAAGTTCATTGATCGATTGTTGAGAAAGACTAAGACGCGCAAGAAAGAGATAGATAAATAGATAGATATAGAGAGAAACAAAGACATTTATTAAATGGGTGGTGAGAAAAGGCGGGGGGACAATGTGGTGAGAGAACGGGGAGGGAGGGAAGAGAGAGAGAGAGAGAGAGAGAGAGAGAGAGAGAGAGAGAGAGAGAGAGAGAGAGAGAGAGAGAGAGAGAGAGGGGGGAGGGAGAGGGGGGGAGAGAGGGGGGAGGAAGAAGAGAAAGAGAGAGAGAGAGAGAAGAGAAATATATATATATATATATTATATATAATATATATATAATATATAGAGAGAGAGAGAGAGAGAGGAGAGAGAGAGAGAGAGAGAGAGAGAGAGAAATAGAGAGAGAGAGTCGTTCGCTTGCGAGTAGACGTTATTTACACTTTCAATGCATCATGCAGTTAGTGACCCTGACAGTCAAACTTAGACACACCCACTATCTCTCGCGCATTTAAATGCTACAGCATATTTAAGTTGCATGAGTCATCACTCACTGTATAACAACGTACATCGCAAAAGGTAACTTCGTTTAGGTAAAGACACTTTGATACTGTGATTTCTTCATTATCAATTACAAGAAGAGAATATAAAGACGTCTATTTATTCTTTCACATCTCAGAGATCTGCCATGCATATATGTTGTAATTCCACAGGGTAAATGACGGAAACACTGCCCAGTTACATAATCTTTTGTATCTTCTTTGCATCTAACTACTGATGACACATTGTTAAGTAATTACATAACTAACACTGGGAACAACACGGTCAATTAAATTCTGTAAAGATCTAGTTTATACCACTCGCCGTTTGTACAGTGTCAACCAAGAAATATTTAAATTAATTAGTTTATTTTCATTCTAATGACTGTATTAACGCATTACAAGCATAACAATAATTAAATGTATATATAATAGAGGTGATTTCGTTGAATTGTGTTAGCACCTTATTCAGTGCTTGTGCCTGCAAAAGTGGCCATTTATACTGAAATCTAAAGAAAATTGGTTATTTTGAATTATCTTCAAAAACTGCAGAACATGGACACTATAATACCGAAATGGAGAATATGTTTCTTTTATCTGTATACCTCTCTTCAACAGCCAGCAAAACATCCGCTAGATATCTGTTAATTATCTGGTCAGTTCAACATGCACGAGGGAGCTTACCGAATGCTGAACTCAAGGTCTACATAAGTACTTATAAAGACCTTGGCTGGACAGTCAACAAACACGAGCCCAGGTAGTGTTTTCAACTCGTACTGCTACACCAATGCTACCTCTGTAAACGGGTGAATTATACTAGTGCCGTATCTTAGGCTTTGGCACAGGTCGACCATAATGCAATGTATAATGGTATTTTATTTCTTTCAAAAATATCCATCTCGATCTACTTCAGAGGCAGCAGATACAGTCTAGATAACCTAAACCCCAACCGACAAATGATGCGTGTCACATAGGCGAGTGCTTTGGCTCATCTGGCGTAATCTTTTGAGGATGATCACGAGGCTGCATTTGCTCCCGCTGAGGACAAATGTGCCAACGCTGAATTACTTCTATTAATCCGTATAGGTAAAATGGCTTGGAAAAGTCTAGGGCTATTTCTGTTGGTTCACATTATTTTTTTTCTGAATTACTCGTTACTGATGACGCCAAGAGCCACAGGTCTTGCTTAAAGGCTTGCGGAAAGAAAGGAAAGAAACACAACATTACAGAAGCACGAATCTCGCAGAAGTGACGTGACTAATGTATAAGAAAAGCGCGTCCTTATTTTCTTTCTTTTGTGTGTATACCAGCAGTAACATCGACACTTCTGCTGCTGCTGTCGAATTAGCATTCTTCCCTCGACTACCATGCGCAAACTTCATTGCATTCTGTTATCGTTACCTGTGCAATAGTTCACTGTGGTGCAATTTACGATAAGCCAATTGCAACTAACGAACTTCGTTAAGGTTAGGCAAGTGTGCATTAGGAACAGATGCAACGATACTATCACTATTGCCAGTCTTGTAACTAAATATTGTACGTAGGCAAATGGATAAACAACGTGTAATTAGCAAAACATTATCACAATCACTTGTATGAACTAGTAACAAAGAGAGAGAGAGAAAGGAGAAGAGAGAGAGAGAGAGAGAGAGAGAGAGAGAGAGAGAGAGAGAGAGAGAGAGAGAGAGAGAGAGAGAGAGAGAGAGAGAAGAGAGAGAGAGAGAAAGGGGAGAAAGAGAGAGAGGGGGAAGAGAGAGAGAGAGAGAAAGAAGAGAGAAAAGGGGAAGAGATCGTAATCTACTATTTATGAGACGGCTGAAACCCAGCCATGATTTGACACTCCTACAAACTTGTAAAATATCCAATTTGGTCACTTCAAGTCGTATGACGAAACGATTGAGACAACAAAGAAGTCCCGTCATACACAAAAGGACACATTAGTACTCCTGTTCGCCGAATTACGCCATTTCCTATTCGTCCGCTCTTGCCAGACCGGTCCTGCTCTTACCTGAGTGGACTTGCTTTTTGATCTTTACTTTTGAATTTTCGTTTTTGAGGTATCACAAAAGGATTAAGTAAGTGTAAACAGTTTCTTCATAATCTGAGTTCGTTATCTATATTTTTTTCTTCAGCTCATGTCCTTTACACACCAGCGTAGATCACTTCAAGAGAATGCTTGTGCTAACCTCATTTCCACAGTGCACGATTTTGTCTACTATTACGCCTGTAGGTCTATAATAAGAGTTAGCTGATTGACGCTTTTAATTGAACTTGACTGATGAGACCTAACGGATTAACCCCACGGCCACTAACCCATTTATTTATTTAATCATTTATCTATTCATTCCATAAACAATCATGAAATGTTGTTCAGGAATAGTGGTGTTGATCTAGCACAAGGTAATGAAAGTGGTAGAATGAACGATGTTGTAGCCTGGCTTTGACATTATAAGATACTGTACTTCAGGATACAAGGTATTGTTATAGTGTACTTTTGGGTAATGGTATAATCGTAAACAAGAGTACTAAGTATCATTTTAAAGGATGAATTATACTACAGAATTTTTTGTTTTTGTTTTCGTAGTTTCGCACACACACACACACACACACACACACACACACACACACACACACACACACACACACACACACACACACACACACACACACACACACACACACACACACACATACACACATACACATATTATATATATATACTTATACATATATATACGTATATACTTATGTATAAACGTATATATATATATATATATATATATATAATATATATATATATATATATATATATATATATTATGTATATAATATATATATACATATATATATTATGTATATAATATATATATACATATATATATATATATATATATATATATATATATATATATATATATATGCGTGCGTGTGTGTGTGTGTGTGTGTGTGCGTGTGTGTGTGTACTCGTGTGTATATATATATATGTATATATATATATATATATATATATATATATATATATATATATATAATATATATATATATATATATATATATATATATATATATATATATATATATATATATACATATATACACACACGTTTATATGTGCATATATATATGCATATGTACGTATATACTATATTTATATGTATATATAAGTATATACGCATATATATGTATAAGTATATATATATGTGTGTGTGTGCGTGGTCGTGTCTGTATATAATATACCTATTTTTTCCCAGCTCAACAAACATCCGGTGCTTATGCCGGTCAGACCATCCCAAACTCGTGGTCTGCATTCGAATTACACAAAATCGTAATTCATAATGTTTCTCTAATAACCAACATACAGCCAAAGTAACTGCCTCCTGGCATTTAGAAAAAACCCAGCATAACAAATATCTCAGGAGTCGGTCCCTCCATCTCATCCTTGTCCTTTACCCTTAGGCTAAATGAATTCCCTCCCTTGGCATAACGGAAAGTTGTGGTTATAGGTTCCGCTGGTCGATCGGGGGCGCGTCTGACATTTGAACAGTCAGTTATTCTAAATGATTTATTGTTTATGTCTGGTTGTTGTTTACTGTCCTTGGCAACCATGGATTTGACTGTATTGTGCAGTATGTTATGCACGTGTTCGAAACTTTGCTAAAATATGCAGTGCGAGTCTAGTCAATCATCCCCAAGCTTATACATGGCAACCTAACACGATAGGAAGTAACACGCTGCTTAAATATGCAGACTCATGTATGCAAAGCGGTAACAACTCATTATAGATATCCAAATCGATTGATAGACGGTGCCCGCGTCACGGCACGTGACCGAACGTTTGTCACTGGGTCGCTTAGAAATCGAAAATTACTGTGTCATCCTGGAAAGTATTACATTCATTTCATATCCGATTGTCCATTGGGACTTTGTGGCTTATTTTTTGAAAAGTAGCTTTTAACAAACCATCAAGGGAATATAAACGCTAAGTATTCATTAGATCACAATTAAGGGTTTCCTAGCATCCCATGTAGGAATCCACCGGGAGTGAATGGTCGCTTGTTAGGGATGAGCACGGAGGCGGAGGCCGAGGCGACGAACGCGTGACCACCTCGTCTTATTTTATTCCTGGCCGCTCCAGGTAGGTCGCTTTTTCTATTCTTTGGTAGAAGAAAGACTCTGGGTGTATTAGAGAGCTTATTGTGAATGTATGATGAAGTAACACAAGGGGAGGAAATTTTTATTGGAGGGAAAACGAAAGTAGCGAGTTCGAAGAGTGGAAGTTGTTTAATAATGTACCGTTATTTGTTTCTTTAGTTTAGGCTTATCCCATTGGGCGGTGGGCGACCAAGCTTTCCCCAGGCAGTCAGGCCTTTGCTTTGGGAGGAAGGAGTCCAGGAACCAAGAGGTGGTTACATTCAATCGCATTACTAATTTAGTTTACATTTAAAAGTTCTCTTGACGTTTTGGGGACTTGCATTCGTGTTTTGTTTTGATTTTCGTTAAACTTGATTTTTCCCGTGATACAAGGTTATTGGTCACTGTAAAACGTTAAATTCTCATAGGTTATGTTCTTAAAACGTTCAACATGGTTTGGTTCCCGTTTGGTCAGGGAAACACCAGTGATGTCTGTTAATTATGTGGTGTGCATTTGCCTATGCCACAGCAGTTGGTGGTACCCAATTTCATATCTGAGTTAGGCACTTCTGTTACAAGTTCTTTATTTTTTCAGTAACTCTTATGTAGTTATATTCCTGATAATTACCTGGTCTGCTAATAATTTGGAATACATTCGCTAAACTGAATTTTTGTATTGATGGATTTCTCTCTCTCTTTTTTCCAAATATTTTGAAATTATGTTGAGGACCCCCCCTCCCACCTCCCACCCCTTCCGTACCAACAATCTTGGGAGGGCATGAATGGCACCAGGGAGACTGCAGGGTAAATTATGAATATGTTACAGAAGAATTGGTCAATATATTCAAATGCAGTGGGTTGTACCCTTTCAAAGCCCCCCCCCCCCCCCATTAGGGATACTACTGCCCTGTAACCCCCTCCGTGGACAGCAAAGAATCCTCCATGTATATACAGCATGATAGAGCACCACAACCCGCAGCATAAGACTGTATAATGACAAGATTCAGTGTATATTGTTTATATTTTACTCTGGTACCTTTCATCCCCTCCCCTGCTATTAGGGCCAAGATTGTCGTTAATGGGGATATTTCCGTGGCATACTTTTGATATATTTGGTTAGTAGAGAGCGAGAGGAATCCACTAATACCAAAATCGTCGCAATTGGTTTTGCGATGGTATTCCGAAAAATTACCCACAGTGTTGCCTAGAATGTAAGAACTTGTATATTACTCTTATAACTGTTATGGACAGCTGTAAAATGTATGATAAGCAGTGCATAGTACCAGTATATCAGGCTGGGTGCGCAGCTTATAGGCTGGGTGCACGCAAACACTTGTGTGCAGTGACAAACTCTTTGCCTCCCCTTTGGAATGTATTTTTGCAGTGTTCATATTTATTTATTTATTTATTTATTTATTTATTTTTATTTTTTTCTCATGATATTCAATTTTCTATAATATATCCTATAGTGCCAGTTACAGTGGCTAGGAACAAGATCCTGAGCATAGAGATAACGTCCTCCTAGGAGCTGGCACTCTTCTAGTCATTGCTCACTGACTGTACATTCAACTCGTTTATCAATGGCAATTATGTAAAGACCCCTTCCTACATGCCAAATGAGTCTTATCACTCTCTGAGAATTTTGTACACTCGTGTTGATTTTATTTGCATCACACCGGCCTTCAGGAAAAATGCTCACAATGGCAAATTCGTGTCTCCGTACCCTAGAGCCAAATTTTCCCAAGACAGTATGTTCACGTCACACGCCATTCAAGCCAGATTTTTTCATGACATGATGGTCATGTCATCTGGGTTAATCTTTACTATATAGATGTACTAAGCTTAAGCTAATTGAAATTGATTGTCATATAGAGAAGAAAATGTGGCATTTGTTGGTACAAGAAATTATCTGTAGACATGAACAGAAGCACTTGAAATAAAGGAAAAATATTGCAAAAACACCACCCACAACCTGTTTCCACTTGGTGCTCCAGAGTTGCAGGTACATCTTGCCGTACATACCAAGGTGAAGAGTGGTCTTTTTCTTATCTCAGGGTATCTCAGGGCTTTCCAGGGTGCAGTTAAAAACTATTGTATTAAATTCCCTTAAAGGAAATGTCAAAATCTTTAAGTATTTATAAAGTCAGCAGAAGTTATATTGGAGATTTCGTATAAAATATTGTGTTAATTATCACAAAATTTGTTTTTTATTACCAAAAACAAATAAACAAGAAATAGCTGATTTGAAACTGAGGCTGTACACTCGCGTTGAATTCCCGCTAGACAAGCATTTGTTTTAAATCAGTAAATTGGTGTCTATTCTCCTTCATCATGAAATTCACAACTACGGCAAAAACAGGGAATAAGTCCTTGTGCTCAGTGTTCCTCAAATGAGAAGTACTATGCGATGTTACTCAAGCAAGAGCCAAGTGTGGTCTGATACGGCACTTTTTTCGCCACTGAATCACTACTCCTGGCTGGGCACTTGGAAAAAAGTCAAGTCCTAGAAGACAAAGGTAGCTGAACCGCACCTTAAGCCAAACAACAACCGACAGCCTAAGGGTACCTGAAGGGAACTGGCAGTTGGGGGTGGGAAGATATGGGTGAAAATGCTGATAAGGGGCATTTTAAAGTGGGTGATTTTTTAGTTTAAAATAGATATCCACTCTTACAATTATTATTCCTTTTTTCAATTATCAATGCTTCTATAAGCAGGAATCTTATTTTCCATTGCAAATGATATAAAAGAAATTATTGTTATTGTATGAAGTCACTATACATCTCTAAGCCTAGGTCCCTATTATTCCAGCTTCCCCTGGAACAAACATCGCCTAATGAACCAAAAACCTTCGTAACCCGGGGGATTCACCCTCATACCCGCACCTGATTGTTTTATTTTCCTATCAGGGAATACCTTCATTTATATTTTTATTTTTGGCCTATGCAGAGTATTTCCTATATTAGTGAGTATATATATATATATATATATATATATATATATATATATATATATATATATATATATATATATATATATATATACATACAAAGTGCAATGTGTTGCACAACTTTCTTTTTATCTACTTGTGAAGGTTATTAATACCATTGGTGGAATAGTCTTATTTCCAGTCATTATATCCATTACAGTCAGATGATGAATTTTACTACATGTCTGTGGAAACTAAAACTATACCAAAGAGTAAACCAAGAATCATATCTTAGATGGGGGGGAAAAAAATCTAAAGTTCATTCATAGATGATTTGACCTGGCACTGTGTGAATGAATTTATCCCACTTGAAAGGTACAAAAAAATCCCATATGAACAAAAAAATTAACTACCTCACTATAATATGGTTATGGTACTACACTGAATTTAGTGTTGTCCCTGAGATTGTAAAACTTTCATTAGGAGTTCTTTCACCGGAAAATTGTGAAAGAATTTGGAAATGCAATTAATGCTGTCAACAAACTCTCCTTCAGAAAGCTGCAATGAGTTCTGTGATACAGAATTGACAAATTTTTCGAGAGATAGTTGCTCAAGCATGACATGTATGATTTAAAAGTATTTATAATGGGGGTTGGGGGGGAGTAAGTATGCACAAATGTATGTATAGATAGATAAATAGATTGTATAATTTAAAAATACCCATCTTAGTATATTTTGAATAATTTGAAAATACCCATCTTGGTGTATTGTGATGAAAATTGACGGTGACAGTGACGAGTGACTTTATGACCTACCTGTGTAAAGTTTATGTAGTGCTACTGCGCAAGAATGTTGTTTGTTACTAGTTGGTTGAGGGAATGCTGGACTTAATTGTGGTAGGCACATGGTGACTTTTGGCCAGTTTGTTAAAACTGTGCGAGGCCTGACCCAATGAATATACATAGTTATATACACAGAAATGAATCCATATCTGTCTGTCTCTATGATAGATGTACATTTATTTATAAATCTGTATGGTAGGTATGCATGTCTTGACTGAGAGATTCATTTATTTCTGTGTATATGCATGTCCATATAATGAATGTTTAACAAACCAGCTGTTTGACTCCAGTCCATGAATTGCACAACCTTTATTTTTTAATGATTTTTAAGTATTGATAAATTCAAGTGTTGTTCTGTGATTTACATTTGTCGTTGTTGATTAGTCTACATGTAATTCTTCCATTTTAGTAGCATTCCCTATTTCTATACTAAAATTCCATTTCCTCTGGGTTAACCCTTTTCAATCATGATGTGTGTGTGTGTGTGTGTGTGCATATACATATACATATACATATACATATACATATATATATATATATATATATATATATATATATATATTATATATATATATATATATATATATTATATATATACATATATATATATATATATATATATTATATCCCAAATTGAAAAGGAAAATGTATTTGAAAAAAAATTGGTAGAAAATAGTAGACTACAATTATAGTGACAATTTCGCTCATACAATTTTATTGTCTAGGTAAAACTTCCAAGTATATTTGGAGTGGATTGAAATTACTATTTGATTATACTAGCCCATAAGGTTTTTGTGCTTCCATTCCGTTCTAGTAGAACCAGTTCGCATTTTAAAATCAATAGAAGTTTTATCAGTGGATTCTTCATGAAGTACATTTATAGTGGTTTTAGTTAGCTTTAGGCAATGCAGCAAGGGTTACATGTTCTCCCTAGGAGGGAAGGTATCATTTGGAGATGATGGGGTGAGATTAAGCCGCATTTACTTGTTTTTGTCCTTTTCAAGGAGGATTTGCCCCCTTATAGTGGCACAAGTGGATTAAGTTGTTTATGCTCAGCACTTCACTTTTTTATACCCTTACTGAATTCATGACAGCTTAACAGTATTAGGCTTTAAGTCTCTTTTTAGTCTCGTTTCCTCATTATGTATATGTAGCCAAGGGCATAGAAAATGTGATAAATGTATGTTTCCTACACTCCTTATTTTTCCCTTGAGTAACTGACTGTGTGCAAAGTC